TAATTGTTTTATTTTTTAATTAATTATTTTATTTTAAAAATTTTACTGAAATATGGAATAGTAAAAAATCGTATCCAAATTTTTTTAAACATTTTCATCGTTTTATCGCGGTTTTTATAATGCGCGTTGATTTCAACTAAAAAATTACAAAAGACTAATCTAATAAACATCTATTTTCTCTTAAATAGGGATGAAATAATATAGTTTAGAGAACTGAAAAGGGGAAAGATTGGAGAACAATATTTCGTTTAAGAAAATTATTTTTTATATTCGAGCGCATTTTTCTCACAACACGTTACCATTCTTACTTTATAAATTGAGAGAGCCATTTATAATATTACATATTACATTATATGTTTACCTGAGCTACTACGCCAAATGAAATGTATTTTGATCGGTCATGGGAGAAGTAGTTTGCCGTCGTCGTCGCTATCGCACCTTCCGGAATTGTCCATAATTCCCTGCAGGTATGCTGCAACAAGATCAAATCATGTTAAATCCCTGATATTTTGATTGACATTTGTGATTAAAATTTATTTCGCGGAGAGAATATTTATGTATAAATTCAATCACAAAATTATAACTTGTTCGCTATCGTGGTAGTTACTCTACTAAAAGAATAAGCGCAAATTTGATTTAAAAATTGGATATTTAATATTATCTATACATATATAGCTTAATATTCTCTTGATTTTATTAGATTATACTCACAAATAGATAGATATCGAGAAAGGAAATATTTCCAGAAAGAATGCACGAAGTGAGTTTGATGTAAAGATACATTTCGCTACTTTTGTAAAATAAATGCACGATTATGACAAAATTAATCTTCGCTTGGTCGACAGAACGTCAATAATATAATGCTAGCTCGATCATTTTGCGCATGAAACCACGTGACTTGCACGAGCTTGCGCCAATGGCGAACTCACGAATAAAGGAAAGAGACCGCGGCTCAATTGCACAAACAATGTGAACAAATTGAATCCTCGGTTAACTCCTCTAGCTATCTCGCTTTCCACGTTACAGGAGAAGCGATAGAAAAGCTCCTTAAAAGTTAATCTGGAATATTTGGAAGAGATGACATGAATGACGTCGGAAGTCATTTGTTAGATATGTAACCGGGAAGGGATAATCGAGACTACCTGCATGGCGAGACACAGTCGATCATAATTATCCGAAGCTATCGAGTAGCCGCAGCTCACGCCACGGACACCCCTCGGGGACAATCTAAGGAGAGAACGCAGCGCGGTACTTGCACACATCTTAATCGCGCGGGTGGCACTCACCAGAAGTAGCCGCTGTAGGTAGTGAACCTTTTTGTCCGGCGCCTGCGCTGTGGCGGTGGAATTCACCCCGAACACAGCATGCGGACGTTTCGACATCGGGTGAAGGTCGACGGATGGCCTGTCGGGGATTTTGGTGTCCATCATACGCTAGCCGTCTCAGATCCTAAAACGTGACCTTTATATATATAATATTACATGGTTCAAGGTTGATACGGAATTTTTATATTTTCTATTGAGAATTATTTTAAAAATTTCGGATCAAATCTTGAACCACCCACGTATATCGGAGAATTTCTCATATCCGAGTCGAAAATTTTCTACTTTCGATCTTCAAACTATTTTATTTCATTTCATTTTATTTTTTTTATTTTATTATTTATTCTATTAATGTATAATGAGTGTATTATCATTGAAAAGCAGTAAATAGTCTGATGGTCTGATTTATAGCATTGCAAATCAGTGAAATCTCACTGAAAAAATCAGTTCGTAGCACAATGGCTATTAAAATTAGTAATATTTTAGAAAATGCATCTTATATTATATAATATTATATATGAGATAAATTTATAGCATTATATTTTGGTTAAAAAAGATCTGAGTTTTTCTTCCTTTTTTTGTGAATTTATCACATTTTAAGCATTTTAAGAATAAAGAAGTACAATATGTATCTAATTTTGAATTTGAATACTAATTATACATGTTTTATTATATTATATATGTACGTGTTTGTGTGTGTATAGATACTTTTTCCAAAAAATATAATAATTCTAAATAAATAGAAAAAGCCTTAAAAGCTACATCTTGCGAATATTACTGACTTTTTAGTGAGATCTTTTACTAGCATAATCAGTGGGATATAAGACGGAAAAGCAAAATATAAATGTTTTTGCTAAAGATCCTCATTAATCTTCAGTATTAACTATGTTACTTTAAGCTATTATTTAATCCTCTTTTATATTTCCTCTTTTAAATTTCTAAGAACTGGGAAACTTCTCGTTTACTGTCTACTCGAGGTACAAAATGGAATCTCGCTTCTTATATAAATTAAATTCTATCGAAATCCTTCAGAATCCATAAACATGAGAAAGTTGAGACCGAAAGTGGAAGGAAAATCTTGACTCGGATTCGCAGCGCTCGATAATCTCGCTTTGCGAGGATCGAAAAATCACTCGAGCTTACAGATTGGAAGACATCTGTGGACCAGAACGACTGTCCTCGACGGCAGCGGCACTCCGCAAAGGCTCCGAAAGGTCGCCGACGAAAAGAAAGGTCTAGATCGTGTCCTCGTTCTTCTTTGGAATTTTGAGTGACTGACGTTTGTTAGTACGACGCAAAAACAAACTACGGTCAATCTCTCGCTCTCGCGTCATTTTATTTTAACAGATGCGATTAATTTATCGATATATGTATATATTAAAGACACATTTCATACGTGCATCTTTATACGTTTTTTTTTTTTTTTTTTTTTTTTTTTTGCTCACGCCTCGGCAACGTGCACGCGAGACACAAAAACTTCTGTGATTTTTGAGGGAACAAAGCGCGCGTTCCAGTGGCGCGTTGTTTCGCGAACGAGAACCGTTCGATTCACAGGGAAACGTCGATGTCGCGAATAGGAGCTTTGAAGGGAGTTAATAGCGAATCGTTTAGTCGTTTAGTCTGGGATAGTATTCCAATCACAGACTTTTATATATTATATAGAAGTCTGTGATTCCAATAAAATAGCGCACGATTGTCGTTAATGCGGCTCAACTGCACGAGCACGTAGTCGATGAGAAGCTCTCGAAATAGTATGCATCTTGTATAATGCAGAACGCAAGTGGTGGGGATAGAGGATGGCATTCGGTATATCGCGTATTAGTTAAAAAACATCCGACCCGAAATTGTGTCGATAGGTCACGCGTGGAGGAGGATCTTTAGAACATTCAAGGGAGATTTATATTCGAGAGTTTTATTTATAATTCCAATCCTGTTTAAGATGCAATTACATCCATCTTCCAATGTTTTATCAATATTCTCATTGTTAGTATAAAATATGACATAAATCGATATTGTACCATTTTCGGAGAAAGGGGAGGGAATCGTTACCGAAGTACCTAACTTTTCGATGCGTAATTTATGTATATCGCATGTTTCGTGATTAAAATCGCGATGCATAATTAATTAATTAGGAATCCCGCGGCACTGCGAGATCGCGCGATAGAGAGCGATTTGCCTTCTAGCTTCGGCCGAGTGATGGGATCGATGCGGTTGCCGTGACGACGGGACCGTCAGAGAGGCCGAATCGCGTGCGGATGACGGCTGCTGCCACCGGGCGCGTGTGCGGGGGTTGGCGCTTGGCGTTGGCGCCGCGATGCAGTGACGTGACGACGTCGCCGCCGTTGAGAGCTCTCGGAGCTCGGAGTGCGCAACCTCGGAGGCGACCTCGTACCTTCGTCGCGTACGGGGCATCAGCGTCTCGCCACCGTCAGCTACCAGACGAGCGGATAATCCTCTCTTCTTCTTCCGGGGACGTTCTTGGATCCTCGCGCGTTGCACGACGCCGTTTCGGGCCGACGAGCAACCGCGCCATGCGGTGCCGGCCTCGCCGCACCAGGACACCGACACGGACGGGCCGCAGCGTCAGCAGGACGACGACGGGGCGAGAATGCACGGCGGCACCGAGGCCGTCGTGCATCGGGAGGAGACGCCGGCTAAGCTCCTGCTGCTGCGACGATGGAGCGATATGCCGCGTCATCTCCAATTCAATCCGCACATCCACACCGGTTACAGGCCGCTCATGACTATCCGCCAATGCCTCGGTAGCCTCTTCTACATCCACAACGAGACCGTTAACATCCTGACGCACGGTGAGAGAATGGAGCTCGAGTTTTTAAGAATGTTGATTGCGATTAAATGGATTCGTTTATCGTTTCAATTCTGTTGTTTAAGCTTCTTTAATGCGTTATGATCTCGCGTTCTAGGATAGTTCTCTGAAATCTCTCCAACATCTCACGCGCGATTGATTATTAGATTATCCGCGTGCCAAAAATATGGATTCCTAAAAAATCTGATTTTCGAGCCATTAATTGCTATAATTATAATATGAAGAATCTTATGGTATTTGCACGATACTTTTATCTTTCAAACATTTTGAATTAATTTTGGAATAATATTAATTTAATATTTTGTTTATTGAAAAAGCAGATAGATAAAGATTATTTATTATTTCAAAGTCATTTTATATTTGTAATAACATTTTTATCTTAAAACTAGAATATATTATCTATGCGTTAAAAATTCGATTACATAAAATATATATATGAAATTTCTCTATCTAAAAAAAAAAAGGTATCAGAGCTTAGGAAAATAATAGAAAAATTATATCAAAATTATATCAAGCAGATGAAATAAAACGTATCAGTCTGTAAATGGATTTGATCGCACGCGCAAGATAATAGCTATTAGTACTCTTTTTCTACTTTCTATACAAAGTAATAACGTAATGCAACGTTATATCATCCACGAGATTTGCCGTTCTCATAGCTATATTAAGGGAGAAAAGTGGATTGGGTCCCTTAATGGCTTTAAAGTCAAGGTGGAAAAATGAATCAAGGCCAAACTTCCGTGAAAACCTCGCGCTCGACGAAGACGCATTGCAGGGTAACGGACGCGATCGATGAGAACGAAACCATATAATATTCCCGCCAAAGCCGATTCTCGATTGATAAATTTCTAACAATACCGCGGTATACTAGCCAAATAAACGATTTAAAACGATTTTCGCGTCTACATATATCCGATAAAGTTCGAGAAAAAGCGACGTGATTGTCTCATGCGACATTGCATCGTTCATGCATAAAGTAGACCATAATAACGCGGACATGAGGGTGAATTTTCGAAATTTTTGAAATTCCTTCTCTAGAGAGAACAGAGAGAAAATCCCTTAATCTGTCTCTTGAAATGCTACGAATTATCCGCCAACATTCTTCCATATCTTCCGGGTCTTATACCGGTATTCTGTGTTTCTCTAATGGACCAACCTGTATATAAATCTCACGTATCGACCGGCGCACATGTGCGTGAAATAAAATCTTACAAGTAGGTCAGAGCTTCCCACTGTGTATGAGAGGCTAGTTAATATAGACCGTTTAAAATTATTTTCTAAGAAAATTGAAGATTTTCGTGAATGTTCGAATTTTTTTCTTAGAGTCTCTTTTGCACTTATTATTATTCGATTTTGCATTATCATTGTGATAGTATTGTCAATCAAGATAATCACTAGTGAGACAGAAAATAATGTTATTTAAAGATTAGAAAGCTTATTCTTATATTGCATAATTTGTTTAATGGAAATTTTCTCTCTTTCTCTCCCTCTCTCTCTCTCTCTAATATTAATTAAAATCTCTAATATTAATATTAATTTTTAAATAATATGATTATTCTCTGTCAAAAACTTGTGAAAAGTGGATTATCGCAATGTAACACAATATGCACACGTAGCATATTTTTAAATAATATCAAAAGCTTCGTTTTAATATATATATATGTTATTCAAAAGAACCCACAGTGAGCGATCACGTGTGATTTCAGGATTCGCTATCCTTTACATGTTACTGACGGTACCGCATTTACTTCCATGGAACACAAAAGGAACGCTCGTAGGAATTCTGTCCTGGTGCCACTTGATTGGCGCCGTTAGCCCGTGGGTCGGCTCCTTCCTGTACCATCTCTTCATGAACGTCAACTATGACGAAGTCTTCTACAGAACACTGCTAAAAGTCGATATGATCGGCATATGGCTATGCCAGAGTTTCGGTGCGTGATGCATTTGCAGATGAAAGCCTCTCCGAATGAAGACAAAAACGAATGAGAGAACAGATATACGATTAATTCGTAATTTATGTAAGAATTACTTTCCGTATACGAGACTTCGTATCTCGAGTGGATCGGTTTTTCAAACGAAGAGCGCTACTAAATTTCTGCTTAAACGTAGAACGTCTTATTAAGTAGCTTAAGTGTGGCGATAGACGCATTTCTATTTTATGCATGATTTATTTCAGGAGCTATACCGATGATGGCAGCCGCGGTTCATTGCCTCGCCGATAACATCTGGTATTGCTGCATTTTTATTTACTGCACCCTCAGTCTTTGGGGACTTTTAAAGGTGATATTTTCTAGCTTACACAGCTAACATTAGTTGACATTTCGTTATAATGACGATTTTAAACGTTCGCATAGGCGATGACTGCGGCATCACCGTGGGAAAGACGTTTATGTTTCGCTCCTCCCTTCCTAATGAGGATGTTAGTTATGACATTGAGATGTTTCGGCATCGGTGGCGGATCACCCGATGCTCTTATTCATATAATATTACAGGTTCATTTTTTTATATTTTCATTTTTCAGATATAGTCGCGCAAACGAATGCCAATATTAATAATAAGGATTAATTTGCAGGATCTCGTAGCTGTGATAGGTGCATCCATCGGCGCTCTTCGCATTCCAGAGAAGTGGATTCCCGGCAGATTGGATATAGTACTAAATTCCCATAATGTGATGCACGTAATGGTCGTCTTGGCTGTATGCTCTATGCATACCGCCACTTTGAAGGATCTTGCCTGGATATCCGATCCGTCTACGTGCAATAGAGCAAGCTATTCTCCTTCGGATCGCGAAGAACTGTGATTAAAATGAGAAACGCGACGGTTTGCTGCAGTCTGTGATAAACCGAGCCTATAACAACTGGCAATTAGTCGAGCGCTTCGACACTTGGAGACCAGAAAGTGTGCTTAATTCTACATATAATATAATAGATAAATCTATAAGTATTAAAGAGAAATATTATATATATATATATTATATTATATAATTATAATATATATAATATATTATATATTATATATATTATATGTATATGACAGAGAGTTTATAATACAGAGTTATTTAATTTATTATGTGATCATCGCAGAACGGCTTGAGTACAATCATGAGTACAAAGTACATACGGTTACTTATATTATATCAAATGTCGCATGATAATTTGAAATTTATCTATATCTATATCTAATTTATCTATAGTTTCTCTGCTTTGAACAATAGATAAATTAATAAAAATGGTAAACTGGCGAATTTGATGCGAATGAGAGAGAAGTAAGCCTATATTGAATGAATAAGTAATTTATTTTAAAATATCTCTGCTATGGACGATACATAATTGGGAAGAAATTGTATTGTTCATATATCTTTCAGTTTTTACGAAGCAGACTCATTTATACCTTAAATGCATAAAATATTTTTGTCAGACAGTGAGAACATATTATATTGCATCAAGACTTCTTTCATTTATAGTTTGTGAAATTGAATTCAAAATCTCAAAATCAGTTTGCATCGGACATGTTTTAGATTTCTTTCCACGCCAGCATTTTAGCAATTTCGTGCATTTAAATGCAATTTTATTGTTATTGAGAGAAATTAAATCATATTTTAACTTCAGTTTGCATTTTAGATTTCTTTCCACGCCAGCATTTTAGCAATTTCGTGCATTTTAATGCAATTTTATTGTTATTGAGAGAAATTAAAGAAATTAAATACTATACAAAAAAATAATAATTATATAAAAATAATAAATATATCTTT